ACAGGAAAGAGAACACTAAGTGTAAAGTCTTCCTTTTTCCAAATGCACTGGTCCACTTTCTTTTTCAGAGGCAAGAAAGAATCATTTTATAAAAGAAAATAGTATGTTGGTGTATTTGTTGTATTTGGAAAAATCAAATCAATAAAAAATAAGTTCATTTGAGCAAGGAAAAAAATTGCTGCGACCAAAGTGTTTTTGGTCTATTTTGGATGCCTTATCTTTGAACAGATGACCCCGTGGGTAGTTAATAAGACAATACCCAAGCTATTGTTCAGATGCTATATTACATTTTACATTGTAACCTTAAAAAAATTAGCCTTTTGTATGCTCTGCTTTTAGGTTTCCTTTTTTCCTTAATTTTTTTAATTATTTGGGTGAGGTTTTCTTCATATAAAACAGTCACTCTCTTCCTTCCCGTCACCCCTTCGTTGCTTTATTTTAAATTGTATTCGCTGCAGAGATTCTCCTATCCGACTTATTTTAACCTTGCTCTTTCATTCTGAGCATAAGTGTACATGTAAAATTGATTGTAAAGGTTTTTGTGCGGGTTCACTCGAGCTATTTACCAGAAGAGGGTCCGGGACCCATAATGCATTCTGAGATTTTTGCGGGGGGGGGGGGGGGGGGGGGGGGGGGGAAGGGGAAGTCTAGGGCAAATTTATTTTTCTGCAGTCGGTCTTAAAAACAAAACGCCAACGTCAGTGCGACCAGGGCTGGTGAGATGAAGACACCTTGAGTGTCGAGTGGCAAAAAATAAGAAAATGCAGTGGAGAAGAGACCACCGATAACATTGTGTCTATCCAGAGTAAGGTGCCTAGTCCGGTTAAAATGTAGCGTGTTGGCATCCCTAATCTGAGGGTTACTGCAGAGCAGCTGATGCTAGTGCAGAGGGTGTGTCCACATAGCTGTCCACTAATCCAGGATAGTCCCTTAAGAAGCCTAGTATAACCTGAGAAGGGCTCGAAAGGATCGCTAATGGTAATGTCCTTGTCCTTGTGGGGCTGTGTAACCTAACTAAAAGGGAAAGTGGTGGTCAGCCTGGATGGTATTGTCTTGTTTCTAAGCACCATCTTTGAGGAATATTCTTTGGACTGAGATTTCTCCTGGTTTCATTGTGACAGCGTTGAATAGGTCCCAGCAATGGAAAGTTCACCACAGAGGAATGGTGCTATTTTTTTTTTTTTCCCCATTAGGGAACCAGAATTAATCTGTAGTTTCCTGTGGAAACAAATCGCCCTGCACGTGTCTCCGCTCCTCAGCGATTTAGGCCTGGTCTGCACTTAAAAATCAGACCCATTGCACGTAGTGACGTCGCTCAGGGCTGTGAAATATGGTGGGCCCTGAGTGCTGTAGATAGGTCATCCTAACTCCCGGTGTAGATGGGGCGAGGTCAATGGGATCTTCTGTTAACCCAGCTACCGCCTCCGAGAGGCGAATTAGCTCCATTGACAGAAGGCATTTTTCTGTCTACGTAGGAAGCACAGACGCTTCGGCACAGCCGCAGCATTGCAGCTGTAGTGTAGACGTGGCTATACCGCGTGTCAAATCCAAGAGCAGCAGCACCCACGTAGGCGTTAGGGCAACTGTTTATAGATTGGAGCTGGAAAACAAGCAGAAGAACGTGGGTATGGACCGTACTTTGAACCTATGTGAAGTGGCTGGTCCTAGCTGCAAGAGCGACGCAGTTCTTGCCCAAATCCAGGCAAACTGTAGGAGAGATGTTTGCCAAAGGCTAATTCCCAATGTCCCCACCCCACCCCGGTCCTGTTAACATACACGATGGACCAGCGAATACAAAGAATGTAAAGTATCTGAGAACCTCGGTACAACCCCATAGCCTCTCTGGCCCAGATCCACAAAGGTTTTTGGCTCCTAACTTTCATTGATTTCAGTGGAAGTTAGAACCCTAAATATCTTTGTGGATCCTGGCCTTTGTGTCTTAGATGAGGCCAGCTCTTTGGGGGCAGTGGGAAGAAGAGGTGGCAGAGGGAGAATGTACTCATGGGCTGCTGCAGCAGCTCCTGAGGAGCTGAAGATACTCTCCATTTGCAAAAGAAAATTTCACCCGTGGGCTTAGAAATGAGATTTCTCCATCACTGCTGACCAGCCACCGCTCACACGGGAGCCTCACTGCCATTGCCCCGCTCGCTTTGGCATGCGTTAGCCTCTCCGTTCTCATTAGACAGCCGCTCGTTAATACCCATCGCCCTCCTCTGCTAATTCGGCTTGCCCCGTTTACCCATCTGCTGTCCAGGGTCTGGTAGCTGGCTCACAGCAGGCTTTGTCTCATGCTGCACAAAGTTGCCAAGTTCCATGTGCCATACTGGGCTTTGTATCCTATGGTAACAAGTTTGGGTTGTTTCGTGGTTGTTTGGGCAGCAATGCTGAGGACTGGTGTTGCAAACTCAGTGGGGGAAAGTCTTGACCTCGTTTACAACCGAGGCAACGCTCCCATTGACGTCAGCGTGTCTGTTGCTTCCAGTAAATGAATTGCACTGTTCACCCCAGCACATGACTGGCTGCTTCTGTGTCAGGCTCTCAGGTGCGCGGGGAGCGCCTGTATAACTTTTAGATCTGCAGTTCCCTGTGGAATTAACTGTGCCTTTTTATACAGGGGTTCCAAGTGGCCAAACCATTTGCAGGCAGGATTGCACTGGGCTGTTTTTACCAATTATTTTTTTACCCCCACCATGGCTCAAAATGGTCTCTTCCAGCTTTAATCTACCCAGCCCTGTTTTTCCTTAAACTTGGTTAGCAATTCACTTCCCCCACCCCGCTTGCTGGGGAATTAACATGTGTCCACTATTCTATGCATTACAATGGGGTTGTGTGCATGGGGGGAGGCTAGTTTAGGCCAATGCCTGTTGCTTTTGTGAGTTAACCTGCGCCAATACCCCCCTGAGGGTTAGTGAAACCGTTTCACCAGCACTTCCTGTAGCTCCCTGGTCCCTCCTCTGACCGCCGCCCCCATCATTCCAAACAGGCGCCTCGATTCGATTCACCTTTTGGGTGCTGACAGCACACGCTTCGCGCAACCTGTAACACTGGCAATAATTCTCTCGCTGTGTAAAGACTGTTTTATCCTGTAATAATGTCTTTGTGCTTTTTTTTAATCCAATTGCCGATGTAATGATGTCTGAAACACATTTTAAAAGTGCTGTTTTTTTTTTTTGTACAAAGATTAGATTAAAATGTAGTTTGGCTCCTTTGTAAACAGATTACAACTTTTGCAGAAAAGATGTTAAAAAATTTTAGAAAATGGAAATGCCACCTTTGATCATGATTAGGGATAATGAAATTCTGGTGTAGAAGTTTAAGCAATAGGAGGTGTTGAATCTGCAGGGCTTTTCGCATAAAGTTAAAAAAGAAGAAAAATAATATGTTCTATTTTGTAAAGTTATGAGTGTATTAATTATTACCACACCTTAGGTTATACCAAAAAACTATTTCTGTGTAATCAAGACCATAGGACACCTGGTTACAGACACCTGTACACATGAACCACCTGTTGGGACACTCACCTTATTTGTTTAATAAAACATGCATCGATGACACCTAAGAAAGGGAATGCTTTTCATTATCGTCTCTACCACATTACACAAAATAAGAGCTTCACAAAATTATAGAAGAGGTTCAGTACCATTTCTGATTGCTGAAACAGTACTGAACATGTATCCTCAACTACACTTTCAGCTAAACAACCATTCTCCTGACACCTGTTGCCTGTCGCATCTGTTATTTCTAGCGTAAAAGCCAAGACAAATGTGCTTTCACTTCCAACTTACAACCACCACCAATGCCCACATTCAATTCTTCTAAATTCCATGGGAGACACAACCTTCCTTAGACCTCAGATAAATATTTTACCACCAGATTTTACTTAAAAAGAGTCTTACAGCATATTAGGTTGGTGTGAACGCTGTGCTTGAGTTAAACTATCCACAACAACACCCACAAGGCACAATGTTATTTGTAAACCAAATTTATTCAACTATGCCATAGACACCACATATAATTGGAGACCTAAGCCCAGGGCTAGTCTAAATTTAGAGTATCATTATCAGAATTTAGCTCAAAATTTAGGTACATAAAATAAGTTTTTACAAAAGCTAAGACCATGAGAAACATTTCCATTATCTCTCTTTTTAAGTCCAACAGAGAGTATTTTAAACATAAATATTTCCTTGTAGTATCTGCAACCCAAACACTAAGTCTCAGCATGTAAGAGCCTGAAATTGAAGCCAATTAGTCCATGTTCACTGTCCAGAGAAAAATATAAATAAAAAACCCAAATGAATAGTTAATCAAATTAGATGTTTTAACTGTTCATTTTTATTAACCTAAATTTCCATTTGCAACACACAAATACATTTCTAACCTTTACAATATCTCTTTAAATGTGGCAGAATAAAGAAGCACACACACATTTTGATCACCCTTACAACTTCTGAGTTGAAAAAACAGAAATAATCATCCAGGAAGGAAAAGGTTGTTTTCCCAAAAGAAATTCTTAAACATTTCTCCCCTACCCTCACAATTTTAAAGGTCCAAAGTAGCATTTTACAATTGTAAGTTAGAATGGCAAAATGCAGAAGATAAGCAGAATTACCATCTTCCTGGAGTACTATTAACAAGGCCAGCCTTAGGGAAGAAAATGGAGCCCCGGGGCAAACTTGTATTTTGGAGCCCTTTCTTTGAGTTTGAGTACAGCACCGTGGGGCTCAGAGCACAAGGGCCAGCTCCTGGCCCCAGAGCCCAGCCAGGCTGAACAGGGAGGACTCCAGGGCTCCCCTGGCCATGCACCCTCTGAAGACCTAGCAGGAGGAGAGTGGGTGCGCAGACACCACCCATACCCACAGGAAGGGAGGACCCAGGGGCTGGCCCAGTGGCTCCGCAGGGGCGAGCCCTGCTGCCTGTGTCTCCCCACCAGGCTGGCAGCTCAGGGCAGCATTGCCCACCCCCTGCCCAGGGGCTCCAGCCCCGGGTTCACCCACACTCACCCTGCTCCAGAAGCCCAGGCCCGCCAGCTTGCAGCACTCAGACAGCACTCCCCTGACTACAGCACCCTGGGTGGTTGCTCATATCACAAGGCTTTGTAAGGCTGGCCCTGACTACTAAAGAGGGCCAAGGCCAGGGTCAGGGAAATGTGTTTTAATAGCAGAAGAAGCTATTTCTTTCCGCCTTGCCTCTTTACTGCTTCAAATTACAGCAGCAAAAATACACACAAACCACACACTCAAATGTAAATATATATGTTTCAGGGGAAACCCAAAACAACGTAAGCCAAAAAAAATTCTCTTCTCAAAAATAGTGCTGAGAAAGACAACTGGTTTCCACCATCTGTTACGGACTCACATCCACAATCTTGGCACATGTCTATCATTTGGAGAAAGCCTTCCTCGCTCTAGATTAAAGGCAGTTTTTAAAGTTTTGCTATCTTTTACGGCAAAAGGTTTTGTAAATTACTCTTTCATTTTGAAACCCATTTAATCTCTTTCAGTTTCTAGTAGATCCTCAACCCAATTTATAAAAAGCAACAGAGGGTCCTGTGGCACCTTTAAGACTAACAGAAGTATT